GGGGACCCGAGCGGGCGGTCTAAGTCTCAGTTTGGACGCGGCGAACAAGTCTGCTTGGGGCGTCACGGCTCTGCGTTGGACCTGCGCCGGACCGGGTGACTGCTTGGAGCCGCCCAAAGGCGTGCTGGGCAAAGAAGATGGGGAGGATGATGAGGATGAGGATGAGGCTTTGGTGGAGACGGGCAGGGGCAGCTGGGTGGGCTTCCTGGGGGCGGGCGGCGTGATCTGGAGGTTCTTGCGCGGCGCCACGGCAGCCCCTTTCCTGGCTAGCGTGGGCGTGCCGGCGGGCGAGGCCACGTAGGAGCGACACGTCTGACCAGCGGCGGGCGGCGACGTCTTGGAGACCGAGGAGGAGGAGGAGCACGACGACGAAGCGGAGGACGAGGAGGAGATGAGGTCGTCGACGGCCGCCAGGGGGTCCATCTCGGGAGGCGTCGCCGCGTTGCCGTGGTGACCTCCCAAGCCGGGCGGGCCCTTCTGGAAAGCCAGGATCTTCTGCTCCAGGGTGGTGAACTGAAGCACGCGCAGCGGGTCGTACTTGGTGAGGAAGCCGCGCAGCGTGTCCCAGCCGCCCCCGACGCGCACCATCACGTGTTTGCCGTGAAGCATCTGAGGAGAACACAACACATTGATGCTTCAATGTTAGCTAATCGTGAAGATGCACTCATGATGTAATCGATTAACACGAGGATAACAAGATTACTTGAACCGGTTCATCAAACTGGTGATAACATGTAAAAGCAGTACTGAGGAGGGGGGGGGGGTCATCATGCAAGTACATCATAAATGAGTTTTCATTTTCCCCGAACATCTTCGGTCACGTGTCACCAAATTTCCAGAAAACTACAATGCGTGTAATGTAACGCAGTGTGGAACGGACAATATATGGCTAACTGCGCGTGGGCTCCCTCTTGTGGTCTACAAAAGAATCACTGAAAAAAAATCATCAAACTGCATGTTACGGTGGCTGAAACTTTTTCCAAAATTGTATTTGCCTTTTAAGCAAAAAATACTTTTGCATTTCAACTTCAAGACCTTATTCGGCTGTAATTATTATTTAACCTTATGTGCAATACATTTTTGATTGACTCATGCATGGGACCATTTTTTTTTCGTTTTCCTAGATTTGAACATATGAATTTTCACACAAAAATTGTATTTACCTTGTAAGCAAAAATACTTTTCCATTTGACCTTGAAGACCGTATTAGGCTACAATTACTATTTAACTTTATGTGCAATACATTTTTGATTGAATCATGCATGGGACCATTTTTTTTTCTCGTTTTCCTAGATTTGAACATATGAATTTTCACACTGCACTTAATATTCCGGGGGCTTACAAAAAATAAGCAACACACTTTTCAAATCCACCTCTGCCATTTTTTTTATTTTATTTTTTTTTTTTGTGGCTTTGACTTTGCAAGCTAACCGCACGTGACAGCGGCTAGCATCAACCCTGGCTCCCTGGTGATCCAATAAGCGGACGCTAAAACCAATTTAAATGGTTTCGGCATGAATTACGGGTGCCTGCTTTGCAACATCGGGGCATGTGTGCAACATTGTGTCGGGTATACATGCAAACCGGGGCGCAATACGCTTCAATTTTGACACATTTTGTTACGTTGCGGCATCCAGTAAAAATATTTTCAAAAGAATTTCACTATTGGGGGTTGTGTGATTCGATTTTTTTTTTTAAACACAGGCGAAAGCAGTGACCCCGTTTGCAATTTCTATCCGGTTTCAGATAATTATTCACACGGGGAATATCACATTCCTGATCGAACAATGGGGCCCGTCTCAATACACACGGCCCCTTTGAGAGTTTGGATTACCGATGCGGAATAGCCGATTCCCGACACTCTGTGTACGTGTCTGTGTCGGTGTCGGTGTGTGTGTGTGTGTCGGGCTCTCACCCGAATAAAGATGGTCTTGTCCCCAAGCCGGTAACGACCCTCTGACAGGTACTCAATGGACACCCTGTTGGAGCAGTTGCAGCAAGGCGGGTCGTCCACGCCGTGCTCCTGAAAAGGGACAATGGGGGGGGCACTGTGAGTGGAACTCACTCCAACGAAAATAATGGTGGTTAAAAGAAAATAGCGGATAGGCTTCGAGGGCAACCTGAGCATGATAACGCATGTGCATATGAAGAGATGGTCTCCCAGCTGCACATTCGGAGCTACTTATGTTTTTGAATTGATTCCACTTCAATGACCGCAGTTATTCTGAGAGGCGCTTGCAGCGTTGGCCATAAAATAAGAACAGGAAACTAAACTCATCTGACGTCAGCCCCCCCCCAAAAGTCCATTTCTGTGCCGTAGCGAGTCATCGCGTCACATGGTCAGCTAGGGTGCATCACGCCGCCCCCCCGCGGCGGACCGGTCAAGCGGCAGAGCCAGCCGGCCACCATCTTGGCGCAAGTGGGGCGCACGCGGGCCACCAAAGTGACGCAGCTGCTCGACTTCACGGACGCAAGAGCACGTGGGTATGACGAAGGAATTTCGCAATCAGGTGCATAACGGAGACAATGACCCAAAAAAAAAAAAAAATTCAAAAAAAAATCTAATCTGTTCAGTACAGTATATATTTTACATTTGATAAATTTTACAAAATATTTGCATTTGATTTAGTAGTAGTAGTACATTAAAAAAAAAATATATATATATTTATTTAAAAAATTAAATCTACACATCGTGTGTTTTTTGGACACTAAACAATTTTTGATAAATTTTACAAAATATTTGCATTTGATTTAGTAGTAGTACATTAAAAAAATATATTTCTATATTTTTTTTAATTAAATCTAATCTACACATTGTTTCTATAACAATAAACAAACAATTTTTGATAAATTTTACAAAATATTTGCATTTGATTTAGTAGTAGTATATTTTAAAAAATTATATATATTTATTTTAAAAAATTAAATCTACACATTGTTTGTTTATTGGACAATAAACAATTTTTGATAAATTTTACAAAATATTTGCATTTGATTTAGTAGTAGTATATTAAAAAAATATATTTCTATATTTTTTTTAATTAAATCTAATCTACACATTGTTTCTATAACAATTATATATATATTTTTTTTTTAATCTAATAATTTATCTAATAATCAACACATCATGTATTTAATCAGACCGTTTATCATATTTAGGGTCTCCGATGAACCCAGTATGCACGTTTTTGGAATGTGGGAGGAAGATGGAAAAGAAACTCCATTGAAAAAATAAAAAATAAAAATAGGTCACTTCCCATCCATGTCGTAGACTCACCCCTGACTGGTAGAGGCCACCATGCTGGCAACACACACTGAAAGTCTGGACTGCCGGAGGAGGCTCCTCAGTCAGTAGAAGGGTCTCCTCCAGCTCAATTTCCTTCTCCAGCTTCACCAGCACTGGTGGCTCCACACCGTACCTGACGAGTTTTTGCAAGCGCGCCCTTAACTATGGCTCACAATTTGTGATTCAAAGCCACATTTCGGAAGACTCACTTCGACACGATGCGTCCAATTTGCAGCAGGCATAGGCAGACCTGCCTGGGCTCCTTGTGCAGCACTGGATGACATACACACACACACACAAACACACAAAAAAAAAAAAAAAAAACACTCAAGTGAACATCCCGACTTTTTGAATAACGTGAGGCAGCAGCTGTCCTCCCGCCTCTTGTTTAGACAACATCCGGCGGACAGAGCGGGACGACAGAGGTGCAACGTGACATGGAAGTAAATGACTCCCTGAAGGGAGGATGCTGGGTGAATCATGCAGAAGGGAACACGGATTTGGAACAGTGAGATGAAGTCTGCGGATATTAATAAAACGGCACACGGCCTTCGCTTGCTTTGCGAGTGGGATGTGGTTTCGGAAACCGATTGCGAGTACTGACGTGATCGCCAATTACAAAAAAAAAAGATCCTATTACGTCATTAAGACAATAAGGATTAAAGAACATGTTCGGCTAATCACATCGACTGGAGTTTGTAGCATTAGGTGTCATTAGAAGGAAAAAAAAAAGGATTTTTTTTTTTTTTAAACGGGTTCTTAGAAAAATGTCAAATTTAAGATGAGTTCTTTTAATTCGCAAAAGCAATCCTCAACTGAATGGCAAGAGACTGGGAGGTATAAATACACATGCAGGGGGAAAAAACAAACAAAAAAAACAAAAACAAAACTGATCAGCTCACACACAGATCTATTTGCTAAAATTCATTATTTTGTGTAAATGCTAAAATATAAGTTGAATGCCCCAATACCGTTCGTGCAAAGCGTGCTTACCGTATTTTCCACACTCTAAGGCGCACCTAAAAGCATTCCATTTTCTCAGTGCGCCTTATAATCCGATGCGCCTTATATGTGGATCGATATGCTGATTTCTTGGACGTAGTATTTTAAATGTTCTGTGAAGCGCTTTGTTGCAGCTACAGCGGTTGTGAAAGCTCTATATCAATAAAGCTGTATTGTATTGTATTCCCTTTAGCGTAGCTCCCTCTGGTGGATGCATACCGCAATCACTATTGTTGCTTCTATTCTATGCGCCTTATCTATGAAAGCGGTTTTAAAATAGGCCATTCGTTAAAGATGCGCCTGATACTCCGAAGTGCCTTATACTCCGGAAAATACGGTCTGTCTTATTGTTTGCCCAAATGTGATGTCACGTCACCATTTAGTCGCATTTCATTTATGCTAGCTAAAGGCCCTTTGTGCATAGTTTGCAAAGCCTAAAGGTTGTGTTCTATAAACCCCCCCCAAAAAAAAAAAATCACATACGGTCCTTGCTGTATGAAGAAAGAGTTTCGGAGAGATGTTAAAAGTTCCGGCGGTGTCAGCGGCAACCTACCGAGCCCCTCCGACTCAAAGAGGTAGGTCTCGTCCACGCCTATGTGCCGACACCAAGAGAGGAAGTTGGCAGTGTTGTCGCGGGCGAAGAAGGAACCCGGAGAGGCGTCGCGCTTACAGGCAACCTTCCTCGTGGGAAAGAGCTGTTGGAATCGAGAAAGTGGCCTTTTGACTTCAGCTCACGAAAGTGAGAGCCCAACAATTAGCACATGACGTTTATGTTTCTTTTCTTTTTTTTTTTTGTTCAGTGGACTTAACTATTGGCGCCTTACACTTTCGCGGCTGACTCACCTTGCCGAGTGCAGAGGGGCAACTCTGGGCGATCTTTGTCTGCAGGACGCCGATAAGCTGGCAGAGCTTCACGCCATTGTTGAGCTCCTCCATGAAGAACTCGGCCCGCACCTCCTCTTCTGTTTAAATAAAAAAGTGTGGTGTCTGAAAAGAGTTGGGGGTCTCTTATAGACTTTCATTGTAAATCACCCCCTAAAGGCCACCGAATTCTCATGGGTGACAAAGTCCACAATGGACAAAACAGTAAACGAGATCGCTCCGCCGCAACTGACTTTAAAGGCGCCCAGCCAAGTTTTAAACCAAACACGGGAGTACGGGTCATTCCAGTCACGTTGACGATAAATCTTGTTTATCGCGCCCCACCGCCCCCTCATTCCTCGCGAGAGAAATCCTGAATGGGTAATACAAAAAAAAACTATACTTAAGGTCAGGTTCAAATTCTTCCCTGCTCCGGTAAAAAAACTGAAACGGGACAAAAGACGACAGAATAATGGCACAGACGGGCGGGCCAAATGAGTTGGCAGAAAGCGATACATGTCGATTGTCTGTCGGTATTTTCCAAAGGCTGGAGAGAAGGAAACAGTTACCTCAGCGTCTGTCAGACGGTTTCAAAATATTTAACAGTCAACCAGCGACTGAGATTTTGATTTTTTTAACACGACACGCATTCAATAAAACATTTGCTAACATTTGTCTTTTTCCTCATAAAACAGTCAGTTTGGGATACATAAAGACGCAATGTCCGTCAGTGTATTTATGTATACGTACACACGTACGTATGTGTATATGGTTGATTAGGCTTATATATATATATATATATATATATATATATAAAAAACGTACACACGTACGTATGCGTATACGGTTGATTAGGCTTATATATGCTAAGTTTGAATTCTTAATTGGTTGGCTCTTGTTTCTATATATATATATATATATATAAAAACGTACACACGTATGTATGTGTATATGGTTGATTAGGCTTATATATAACGTACACACGTACGTATGCGTATACGGTTGATTAGGCTTATATATGCTAAGTTTGAATTCTTAATTGGTTGGCTCTTGTTTCAACTGAACTTTCAGTACGTCATATACAGTATTTCAAATGCGGCTCTGTGAAAAATGACGTTTTCACATGTGAGAAATCCGATAACATGATAAGCTGTCCACTGTAGTGACCGCCGACCCCAAAAGGGTTAAAGCCAGTAACTTTCTGTTGCTTCTGTTCAATCTCAGGCGAAATTTGGAACCGCCAAACGTCACCGGTAATAACCTAAAAAAAAACGTACCCAGCATTCCCGTGAGCCAGATGGCGAGATCCTCCTGCATGGGCACCAGGGTGGCCTCATGCCGCACCGCCAGCCACTGGTCGTACTGGAAGACGTCGGCGAGGCCGGGGCCGTGCCGCTGCGCCAAGGGGCTGCGGGGGCTCCGAGGGCTCAGCACGGGCGCGTCGAATTTCTCGCCAAACCATACCTTGAGGGGGCCAGTGCGAGGGGCGGGTCAGTGTTGCGTTTCCATCGAGGTCGATCAAAACAATTACGATTCCTCACATGACACGCCGAAAGCCAATTGTTCCCGTTTCCCCACTGAAGACCTGCCGAATGCGAGTGGGCGGCGAACAGTTTTGTTGTATCGTTTGACCCCACGGATCAGGTTGCTTATTGGTATTCTGAGTACGGTTTTATTTCTGTAGTGATGAAAAGGGAAGAAAAATCCAAGAAGGGAAAAAAAAACCCTCTCGTGGTTCTCCTTTCTCCCACAGTGACTCGACAGAGTTGCGATTTGAACTGCTCCATTTCCCCCCTGTGGTGGGTGGCAGTTTAGTTGACCCCGATTTTATGGCTTTTCACACTAGACCGGCAAGGCCAATTTTAGAGTTGCGTAATTTCAGTGTCTGACACAACAGTATCGGTGGCTGGTATCGCCGGTCACCACGAGCCACTCGATACCTTCAATGAGACAGATATCAGCCCGATACTGGTACCCGGTATCTCTTTATCGCGAAATTTCACCTGCTGCTGGAGTCTCTGAGGCGAACCTCAAGAAAGAGCGGCGCACTTTGCACTTCACTGCCTAAACCGGCGTCAAGCGACGTGGCTCGTGGCGCCTGCGGCGAGCCACTGATCCCCGGCGTCTCGCGCTCTCGTCCCCTCATATCCATCTCCTCAGTCGTAAGCCTTACATGCTTGCCAGCTCGACAAATATAAAAAAAATAAAATAAAAAAAAAACTCGCCCTTCAAAACATTCCTTCATTGTTGACAAGCTCCGGCAGCAGGAGGGCGATCGAGAAATTACAAGCAGATGTCCATTAAGATGACTCACCCGGACAGATGTTACGCAACCCGCAAGACGGCCCCGCCCCTCCGTGCTTAAGGCTATAATCTCGATGTCCATTATACGTCACGTTTTTTTTTTTTAAATGATTTAAAATCCCGCTTTTGTAATTTAATGAATTCAAAAAAAAAAAAAAAAGATAATAATCACCTGTAACCGGGTAACCTGATAAGCTGTCCACTGTAGTCATCGCTGTCCCCGAAAGGGTTAAATGAACACTGCAAACTAAATAATACAAATTATAACAGAATCTTGGATTCCCAGCGACTAGTAATTAAAATCAGACCTCCCTTTTCCACTCAGACTTCTCATCCGTTCAACTACCAAGCTCCAGAAAATAGTTTTTATGACTCCTACTATTATCATCCTGAAGGACAACTTTCGCCCAAAAAGTTTTCCCATGCATTGTCACGGGTTTTCGCAATGACGTAAATTCAAAGTGATTTATACAATTAGCCGAGTTCAGTCCACCGCGGGCCACTTGGACTCATTTAATCTCACGAATTTGTCATCTAATTTTATTCGGTAAAACAAATTAGTCCCTGGAGGCGACACGTGACCGGCGCGTTAGGCTAGCAGCTGGAGTCAACGCCTCCGGAATGACCTTTCCACCGAAGCGCAGCACACGTAGAGAAAGATGCACGGAGTCATGCGCGCACACCTGATGTTCTAAAGTGAAAAAAAATAAATAAATGTGACCTCATATCAAGAGAGCTGAATCGACCCAGCTGGACAAACACACGTTATGTAACAAAACTCGGCTTGGCGGGGCATTACGTTGCAAAGTCATTGTGATATATGCGTTTTTATTTTATTTTTTAATTTTTTACATACGGCTAATTAGAAACTCGGGCAGTATTATGTCATATTAACAACACAAAAAGAATAATTAAAAAATGTACAGGTACATGTAAGCCAATGTACCGTATTTTTCCACACTATAAGGCACTTGGGAGTATAAACCGCACCTTCAAGAATGGCGTATTTGAAAAACGTTTTCAAAGATAGGGCGCACCGCATTATAAGCCGCATAGAATCGAAGCCACAATAGTGGTTGCAGTTGCGTTATGCTTAGAAACTCGGGCAGTATTGTGCCATATTAACAACACATAAAAAAAAAATAAAATAAAAAAAATGTACAGGTACATGTAAGCCAATGTACCGTATTTTTCCGCACTATAAGCCACTTGGGAGTATAAATCGCACCTTCAAGAATGGCGTATTTGAAAAACTTTTTCAAAGATAGGGCGCACCGCATTATAAGCCGCATAGAATCGAAGCCACAATAGTGGTTGCAGTTGCGTTATGCACCCACTAGATGGAGCTAAAGGGAATACAGTACAATACAGCTTGGTTTATATTGAGCTTTCACAACCGCTGCAGCTGTAACAAAGCGCTTTAGAGAACATTGAAAATACAACGTCCAGGAAATAGGAATATTGATCCATGTATAAGGCGCATCGGATTATAAGGCCCACTGAAAAAATTGAATGCTTTTCGGTGCGCCTTATAGTGCGGAAAATACGGTAGTCGTGTATTTCGTCAAAACAAAACAAAAATCTCCATTCCAAACCAGATTAGTGTTCTCAGATTAACCAGATGACTGTTTTCTTAAAGCGCGCCCCCCCCCCGCCTGCATATCGGGCCTGGAGAAATGCCTGCTGATAATCCGGCGACTAAATGCAACCTTACAGCGGCGAATTAAATCAGCATATGCCTGTACATTAGATTTTACCCTCATTGAATTGAGCTGATGCTCTTAACTTGAGCCACTTATAACGAGGGCCCACAGGCCTCCTGGAATTGGAAGAAGGTCAAAGGTCACGGCGAAAATTATCTTCATTAGTGCTGTTACAATCATATGACAGAGCTGGGAATATTTATTTTTTTTTTTTGCCCCAAAATATGATTTTTAATGAGTTTTTAAAGACACTTACGGGGTGGAAAAAAAAGACATTATCCAAATTAAGTTTTGCTTCATTTTAATTCATTTGAAGTGAAAAGTATTTATTTTATTTGTCGATTCGTAAGTCGAGGTTGAAGCGGGCAAAAATATTTGGTGCTTGGAAGCTCAGACGAGCTGCAGCTTTGTGAGGATAACAGATGGATGAACGCACATACCTCGGGTCAAAAGTTTCCAAAATATGCATACATTGGATATAAAAAGTCTACACACCCCTGTTTAAATTCCAGGTTTTTGTGTTAAAAAAAAATAATTGCACCATCAGCGTGACTTATAACTCGTATGATTCTTTTTTTTGTATCTTTGAGAGAGGAAGTAGAAATAAACAACAGAATTAGTGTTGCACAAGTGTACACACCCTGTGACATGGAAGTGAGCAAACACTTGACACCAAATGCCTTTGCGTCACCATAAATCACTTTTAGCTTGTCCTGACGCTTGTATCTTTGAGAGAGGAAGTAGAAATAACAGAATTAGTGTTGCACAAGTGTACACACCCTATGATATGGGAGTTGGCAAACACTTGACACCAAATGCCTTTGAGTCACCATAAATCACTTTTAGCTTGTCCTGACGCTTTTTTTTTTGTTTTTTTTTTGCTTTCTAGCAGAAGCCTGAAAATTTGTGTCGATACCGACTGCCATAATTCCTTCCACCTTGTCAAAGGGCCCCAGATCCAGCTAAACAAGTACAGCCACAAAGCACGATGCTGCCCGCCAACATACTTTGTGTTGTGGAAATTTTGTCCAAAAGTTTGTTTCCTCGTCCTCCGCCCACAACACATTTCCCCATTCGTGTTTGGAAGATTTTTTTACGATCAAGCATGTAGTTCATCTATTGTCTCCCGATTCTTTTGCCCTGTATGTGACATAACTTGGCCGGCATGTGACAAAGGAAGACTCCAACTCACAGATGCTTGGTTTTACGATCGAGCATGTAGTTCATCTATTGTCTCGCGATTCTTTCGCCCTGTATGTGACATAACTTGGCCGGCATGTGACAAAGGAAGACTCCAACTCACAGATGCTTGGTTTTAATGACCGGCGTCAGAAACATGCACATATGCTCCTCGTGATCCCAAGAGCGCGTCCTTTTTCTCTTTTTTTTCCAACCCGAGCCAACGTTTTATTGAACATGCCGCACTGCGATCCTCCAAAAAAAAAATCTCACCGGAATGCGCGTGTCGCATACCATGAAGAGCAATTGCGAAAAACTGTAACGTGACACTCTTGTTGTTTTGGCTCTTCGCATAGTTGACATCAGTGGCTGGGAGGGGAAGGAGAAAGAAAATTTTGGATTGCGTTCCAGCCACCCCTCCCAAAAACGCGCAAAAGACACTCCTCGGGGTCCCGGGAAAGGAACGCCAGGCACGCGTCACGAGAACGAGACTGCGTGTTGTGACACAGGTGGGCTTGCTGCAGTTGCCGGGTGACAGAAGTCTACATTTTTTTTTTTTTTGTGGAATCAAAATAACAGCCAGGGAGCTCCCTGGCACAAAGTGTGCTGCTGACGTAATGAAAATAAGGACGGGCCGAGCTGGGTGGTGCTCAGAAGGAATCGGAAATGCCCCCCCACAACCCCCCCAAAAATTATTAAAAATAAATAAAAAATTTTAAAAGCCCGGCAATAACAAACAGCATGAATTCATTCATGAACTTACCTGGATGCCAGTCTGGACAGCCATGACTGCGCTCAGGGATGACTCAATTCTTCATTCTGTGGAAATATGATGGGAGGGAAAAGAAAAAAAATAATAATAAATCATGATTTCAAATGCGACTTTTTAATTGCTTGTGTATTCGGGTTGAACAACTTCCGATGTTATTTATTTATTTATTGTAACTAAAGCGGCTGCTATTTTATTTTATTCCAAATCTGGGTAGGTCGTTCCGAATGGTGACATCATAACTGGATGAGATGAAAGTTTTCGCAACAAACTCACATTCTGCGCCCTGACTTCAAATTCGTAGTGACGAAGTGCTGACACCACGAGTGAAAATAACCCCCCCCCCATCTTTTGCATGAGGGGCGAGTGGCCACTTTGCAGTCCCCGCTGCCGATTTAAGACCGTGGGCTTCAACAAGTAGCTCCGCCTTTTGTCGTCACGGTCCTGCCATGCAGTCGAGGGCTCGTTTGCATGAGACAGGACCACCCCCTAAGGCAAAAAAACAGGCTAATTCGAATTAAAGTGTTCTATCAATACCACTTTTTTGGGGTACTGACCGATACCTCGAGTACTTTTGACACCTAAAATTCCATTCAACAAAATAACAAAACGTTTCTTTCTGACGCAGACGATAATTCGATGGTCTCAATTTGCCGCAGTAGAGCGCCAACTACTGTTGAGGAGGACTTGCATGCCCGATTTTATTTGATTTTTTTTGTCGCCCGAAGTATCGGTGGCAGGTATCAGTGCTTTCTCATCCCTAGCGGTACGTCTCCTTTAACTCGAACGAGATGACGGCCGACACGTTATGGTCCTGAACATACGTGATCAGGTTGATGTCGTCTGATTTCCATTTTCTTTATTTCTGATCGGCTAAAAGAATTCAAAATAAAAACAAGCCTCAAGGTGAAACGTCCCCCCCCCCACCCCCCTTGTGTTGGCTTTTCTTCAAGCAACAAAAGGTCCACTGTGGTATGCCATCATGGCTTCCTGGCTTCGATTTACGACTAGCCTTGAGTTTCTTCTTCCACTATTTTTTTTTTTTTTTTTTTGGTGACTTCCAAAAAAAATCCATCAGTCACTCCGTTCATTTCCATTGCTTGCAGAACTTCCGAATGCAGTTGACCGGCAAGTCACGCCGCTTTCACAAACCACATTCAGCGCCTCCATCGGTCCCTGTTAATGGTTGATTGATATGAACGGAAATCTTTTTTTTTTGATGGTCCGCTTGCACCGATTCATTTGGACTGACGAAAAAGTGACTCTCGCGAGGAAGTGACGCGCTTAGCCCGAGTGCTCCTCTTTTGCCCTTTCCCACACAGGATGTGAAGGATTACCCTCAACTCCACCGTCCCTCAGGGTATGTATGAGAGCGTGTTTGTCAAAAAAGGGGGCTGGGGGGTGGGGGGGGTGTGCTGGTGAGAATCGGGGGTAGGAAAGCAATCACAGCATGAAGATCCTAATAACATTGATAATTTGGTCAACACAGCTGAGGCAACAGCCCCCTCCCCGCTCCCTTCCTCCACCGCACGCAGCGGCATCCCTCCCTCGACCAATACGACCTCGTATAACCTCCAATCACACACACATGGTACTTCACTGGCAATGTTGTCATGCAGAAACCTTCCTCCAAAAGCTCACTTGCTCATCACACGCCCGCCTGGCAGTACCGCGTCCAGTCATCCGACAACAGCCTCGAAGCAATCGGCGAAAAGATACGAACGACCACCACGCAAGATCACTTACCTCAGCGGAAGAAAAAAAAAAAAACGGAAAGGATCTCGTGACGGAACGCCGGTGCTGCTGCGCGATTTCTCTCTCGAGCTAAAGATGCGTTTGCGCCGCGCTGTCCGGCCAGAGTGGCGACACCACCACGAGTGAGCGGCGAGGGAGAGCGAAGGGATGACAGGGAGGGAGGGAGGGGGGGGGGGGCTATGGATGGATAGGAGCAGGAGGAGGTGCAAAAGAAGGAGGGCCCCGACTAATGAAGTGCCGACGTTTGTCTAAGCCAGGACTACCCCTTCAAACCACCCCCCAGCAATCCTGTCACAGCGGGAACCTCACAAAGCTTCCATTGTTTCCTTTGCACCCCCCCCTCCCTCCAACACACACTAACACACACACACACACAAGCCCCTGCACCCCAATTCCAGTCGGCTAAGGTAAAAGTTGACCAAACTTTTTTTTTTTTTCCAAGCTCAAGCCGTCACTACGGTGGACATCTTACATACAGATGTGTCTTTAAGGGGTTTCGACAAATGCGTTTTATCAAACGCCGCTCTCAATTTGTGAGGGGTCATGGAATCAACAAAGTTCAAGCTGACGACGTAACGGATGCATTCCAAGAACTTCAACACTGTTCGGGCATTGTGCAGAAATGTCAGCAGGCCAAGGAGTGGAAGAACGGCGACATTTCGAATCCAGGAACTCCCCAAACAGGCTGTCATAGGCTGAAATGAGCAAGAGGTGTGACAGTGGAGCTGCATCTACATCCTTTTCAGCAATGCGTTTTATCAAACGCCGCTCTCAATTTGTGAGGGGTCATGGAATCAACAAAGTTCAAGCTGACGACGTAACGGATGCATTCCAAGAACTTCAACACTGTTCGGGCATTGTGCAGAAATGTCAGCAGGCCAAGGAGTGGAAGAACGGCGACATTTCGGATTTCGGGGGAGGGGACAATCCGCTTCCTTATGTACATGCAGAGGGCCGTCATAACAGCATGGCGAGCGCGATTTGCTCCATGCACCCACGCAGTCAGATGGCACCAGATTTGGGGGGTGGGGGGTGGGGGGGGAACAATCCGCTTCTTATGTACATGCAGAGGGCCGTCATAACAACATGGCGAGGGTGATTTGCTCCATGCACCCACGCAGTCAGATGGCACCTGAACTTGGGAATGGCCAATTTGGAGAGGGCAAAGCTCAACTCGACCCCTCCAACGCAAATGCTTTATTGGTTGTCTCGCCCCGCCCCCCAAGATGGGCGAGACAGAGCAGAAGTCAAAAAATGAGATGTGTTGGGGGCAATGAAGACAAAACTTGTGTTGTGGTGGCAGTGAATTTGGGAGTGGCCATTTTGGAGAGGGCAAAGCTCAACTCGACCCTTCCACGCAAATGCTTTATTGGTTGTCTCGCCCCGCCCCCTTAACAAGAACGCTTAGTCAATATCCACATCCTGTTTATGGACAAATTAGTTCTTCATTCCTCACTGCATTTTGGACGCGTGGATTGAGCCGTTCTGAATCCAGGGATTAACGGAGTAAATGACGCACAGAAACCCGGGGAGACAAAGATCGGATTTCGCTTCGCCAACCTGCACTTTTCTTGTTACGATGGAAATGACGGCTTTGTTTCAGGTTTAATGCCCTTGAGAAAGACATGATATTTGAGTCCCGTCTGAAAGAACTCGGCACCGTATTTAAACAGTCGGATGCACTTTCCAGATGGGGTATTCGTGGAGAGAAACGTTTTTTGTTTATTTTTTTCCTGAAGTAAGCGAACCAAAGTTCAGCCTGAAATTCGGAAAGAAGGTTGCTCTTATTTTTAACAATGAAGTACTTTTGAAGTACTTTTGACTTTGAGTGTATGTGTCTTTAACAGGGCCAAGCCTGGTGAGTGACATGGGCGGCAGAAAATGAGGGTGTAGCGGTGAATTAGCTAACTGCTAGCCAATCTGCGTGTTGAGTGACTGTGTCAACTGTGTGCCATGTAAACTAGCATACGTGATGCGTGACCTTATTCCGTGTTTCTTTTGTTCAAAAAAAAAAAAAAAAGACCGCTAGCCAGTCTGCGTGTTAAGGGACGACGTTAACTGTGTGCCATGTAAGCTAGCGTACTTCCTGCGTGTGCTTATTCCGTGTTTCTTTGGTTCGAAAAAATGACTGACAGTGCGCGGAAATGAAGACTGAAAACATCCCGGTGGAAGCTTCGAGGCGTCGAACTTTTGCAATCTCATTCTTTGCATTCTCATTAGAGAGTCCCGAGAGCCTGAAACAAACAAGGCTGTTGTGAACTTGTGCGGAGAGGGGTGAGACATCTGTCCGTACGCTTCCCACGCGGGTCACCTCCCTGTTCTCTAGGCGCAGCCGCTAATCAGTTAAGAGGATCAACGCTATTCCAGACAGCAGAACGCATCCACCTCCACGACGCTCCGTCATCACAACACACACCCGGCACGTGGCGCGCACACGCAGCCGGCCGGGATGCGCCCGTGCGACTAAATGAAGACATGATTATGTAAGGGGTTCAAAGTAGAACGTTCCGGACGAGTGTCCTTTTGATTTTTACACCACTCTGCACCGGGAATGCCGCAGGGGGGGACTCCAAACATGAGTAACAAATAACACACAGTTAGCCCGCGTGCAATTTTAACCATTTCATCCACCAACAATAATAAACGTTAGCATGCTAGCATGATAAGCTGTCCACTGTAGTGACCGCTGTCCCTGTTAGCATGCTAGCATGATAAGCTGTCCACTGTCGTGACCGGGGGACGTACAATGTCATATTCCATCATTTAGCTCTGTGGATATTTCGACAAAGCAAATATTCAAGCTGATGAGCGCTTTTGAACATTAACGGCATTTCTCCGTCCCCTTATGTAATTATGAGTCACTTTACAACAAATCCAAAAAGGCGGCTTTTGCATGACCCATTCCAGCTCTGAGCACACGCCGCTGTTTGTCTGCATCATATTTTCCACCTAAATTCAACCCGATTAGGTTTGCGGTGTTAAAAAAAAAAAAAAAAATGGGGGGGGGGGGCTCTGCTGGATAACCTTATCAAACGATGAGGATGGGTAACATTTAAAAAGTCCCCGTTGCCTTCTGCGTGAGGTGGCAAGTGGCCAGAATTACAACTAAATGAACCTTCTGCACCCTTCCCCATCCCCTGCAGTCCGTAGGGGTTCTGACGGACTCGTCTTTCCCCTAGAGAATACCCCCCCCCTCGTCTATTAAAGTCCTTCCTGCTGAGCCCTTTGTGTCTGGACTTAATTATCCCGTCAGGAGTGTTTCATTTAAAACCGAGCTTCCCCTCTCGATACAGATGGGGGCCCGGGTTTCATTTGAAAGGAGAAGGATGGAAAAAGTAAATATGCACAAGGGCTGGGAAATGAAATTCACAGTCGCGTGTGACCCGTTTCCAAGGTAGAAAGACTTTCTCGCTCTTCAAGGAGGATTACACGTTCTCTCGTCCTTGTCCGACCGAGGGTTCGTTCCTTCCTCGTAGGTGAAACAGTGGCGGTAAAGCTCATCTTAACGGCTCGAAGGAGCGCGAGCCACCTGCCAATCCTATTTTGATTTGTTGATGCTAATCCACGGCTCGCAACACGCCACCGGGTCCGCGTCGGGGGGGGATTTTTAAGACCATCGGCGCTGAATCAGGATCAGTAATCCAACATCCGGCTTCTTTCATAAGGCCCATAATTTTTTTTTTTTAAGTAGTGTACCATAACTGAGTCCAGGTTGGTTAAAAGAGGCGTGGCCTGAATTTTGTCAAGTCAGCGTATTTACAAGAAACTTCTTTGAGAAGCTTTGGTTTAAAGCTCTCAACTCAATTCCTTTAGGGACTGCAAAAAAAAAATAAGAATAATAATTTTAAAAAATTGAAAAAGCAGGGCTTTCGACCACCGGTGTCAAAGTCAAGGCCCGGGGGCCAGATCCGGCCCCCATGTCATTTTATGTGGCCCGCGGGAGCAAATCATGTGTGTCAACTATCATGATTCTTGCTGAAATCTGTACCGAAATGTCAATGGGTAAAAAAATAACGTTGAGATTTTGCACAGGCCCTCCGAGGGAAGTTGTCACTCCGAAGTGGCCTGCGACACAGAAAAAATCAGTTTGACACACCTGCTCTAAACCAACTATTTGAAGTGGTTGTACACAACTTTTTTTTTTCCTTCGATGCACCAGCAAAAAAGTTTTTATACACCACAGTTTTATCAGGGTCACTCCCCCCCCCCCCAATAACAAAATTGCTCCCTGTCTCTCAAGTCATTATTGACTGTTAAATGTTGCTAAAACGCAGTCATCATAAAACGATTTATTGGAATCACAATTTATATTTTTATGCTGCAGATGAGCGATCGACTTAAATCGAGTATCTGCCCCCCCTTTTTTTTTTAGAGCAAGTAATTCTTGATTCTCAAGAACACTGAACAACAAATAACACGCCTTATGCTGTATTCACAAAAATTGCACTGAAGGAAATATGAAACGTTTAGTACAGAGGAATTCAGAGTCACTAATCACTTTCTCTCCCACTCCTCGAAAGACTGGTCGCACCAGTGCAACCAGAAATTATGATGCATGTGCGCCCAAATTGATCTCAATCTAGAAACCTGAATCGGTCAAATGATGGCTCATTTTTTTGAAAATAAAAAATAAAAAATCCCAAGTCAAGTAACAGGTACTGTAAGTCCTACCTCAATATTTGTTCAAATAGTCCTGCAATCCCTTCCTCACGTTCGATGATGTCGCTTGGTTGAGCCAGTCAAGCGGGCCTGGTCTGGCAAGGCGCCCACTCTGAGCCGTTACTGATGACCTTCTTCCCACGCACTATAAATCCAACACCATTACGTCATCGCTTCAGCGGCGGCGCAAACTCTCTGTCAATCAATTCGAACTACCCGACCTCACGAGACAATCTAAACACTCCTGATGGATGAAGATCATGAGGTTGCTAAACTGATAGAAATATGAGTACAGTGGAAGCCATTTGTGTCACCAAGGTAAAATAGAGAACAATGTACTGTGTTGGGTTTATTATTGGACTCCAAGGTAACACTTTGGAGCCCCCAAAACAGCTCCATGTATCCAAGACGCAATAATCGAGTGACATACCATTCTCGCCCGATACTTTCGAGCGGTTGCAAAACCTGGCCATGCTGCGCTTATTCAACCCA